TGATGATTGAACTGCGTGTTCGGTCCCATCCATTCGATCTCCGAATCAATCTATAAAATACTCTCTTAACCCTAAGTATACCACCATGCAGAGATGCATTCGCACCCCACTAAGCCTCAAACCTATACTACTCACGACAGTTTGAGCCAGAGCTGTGATACAAATAATCTTCATCATTATAATAACCCTTGTAATTATAAATCCTTGTCGTTCCAATCCCATATGTATTGCATTATGAGCGTTTTGATTCCTCTTTGTACTTACTAATACGACTTGGGGCGCATTTGCACCCCACCTTGTTATAAATCTATCATACATTATTTCCATGAAATGTGCAAAAAAGTTATATTGCTATATTTCCAGAACTCTCTGAAAATGTCTGAAACATTCTAGAATTCCCTCTCGAGAATATCATGGGAATTTTCCAGATTTTTTTAAAAGGGTGACTATCCATAAGGGCCGTTTTAGACCCTAAAATCTAGTGAGCAATAAAGTATTGAGAAAACAACAACAACAAAATAGTAAGTGGTGCTTTCGGTAGTCCCGGTACGACACTATCTCCCAGCAAGTGGATGTTATCAATCTTTGTGTAATGTTTTTGTCAGTATGGGGTGCATATTACAAGTATTTTATCGATTTTCGCCAAACATTGGTCATTTACACACAAACAGGCTGGACTTTAACATTGAGCACCATAATATTTTCATAGTATATGTAATAGGACAGAACACATATTATGTATGTGGTACGTACACATATGCTCAAAGCGTAGAGACAATAAATTTGTCGTCAGGAATGGTGAAAAATACAGCAACAATGACATTGAATATTCATATATGTATACTGTGACATATAATATTCATACCCTTTGTTTTCAATATTCAACAGTAGACATGTTTAAATATAGTAAATGCGGCATCTTTCCACTGACACTCACATGGTTTCTGCACACTTTCACTATAACAGATGCAGCAAGGTGGAGAAGTAGTTCCGATGACACTGACGACTAAGGATCTAGTAACAGCAAACATGGACATTGTGGATTTCAACATTTCACTAATCTATGTACTCTTTGACATGATATCCTTGTTTTGTGCTCTCTATAGTTGTGCTTTATATGGGTTCAAGGAATAACACTGTGATTTCTTGTGAAAGTTTTTCCTCGGCTTCTCATTTAACAACACTTTATTAGGTAAACAAGGGCGTTTTTGTAGTTGGTACATGCCAGGCTATCGATGTGTTCCAGTGATTGAAATTCACAGAAGGGTCAAAGACAACCGTTCTGGAGACCAATACTTTGGAGAACATTTGAGAATAAGTTCGTAATACTATATAAACCAATGAACAACCTCAGTTGCCATTTTTTTCGGTGTATTCAAGTAAAGACTCTTCTAACACTAATTCTAATAAATGTTTCGTTCCAAAATTGAAAGTCAAGAAACAAGTATGTCGTGAAGACGGCAGCGAAGAAATGTCAAGCCGTTCATGATATGGCTTCTAATCTTCAAGTTTTTATAAAGTACGATAAAGAGTTTTTTCGTCTACTGAAAAGCTCATTGTTGTAAGATGCTTAAATATATACTAATTCAACACAACACTATTAGAACCTAAGGCATATAAGTAAAGTGGAAATTAACGTGGTATACCGAGGGCTAATGTAAAGACAACTACTATTAATAAAACGCAGCTCTGTTTTACAAACTGAAAACAAAATATATGATTTAATCTATTTAATAAAATGAAGAAAAAAGAAAACGTTCGAAAAGTACGCAAGCATTCTAACTTAAAAGCCGAGAACGGTTTTAGTCATCTAATTCGTGTAGATTAGAATAAGTTGGATAAACTGGTGTTACAGGAAGAGAAAATAGCTTCCACATATATCACACCTCACGCACCTGAAACAGCCATTGAAGATACACTTAGTAACCTGATTAGTTATGAATTTGTCATTGATCTTAAAGGAGCCACATATAGAGAAACAAAACAAACAAACAAAAAATAAAAACACTTCAGTTAGTATAAATGTCTGATATAAATGGCAAATTTTTCTACTACGGTTTACTAAAATATAAGGTTAGAATAAGTAACATCTCCATATTAGTCCAAAGAAAATTTATAAATGGTGTTATTCTAGCTTACAAACACGAAATTTTTCTCAAGCTGTCATCTTCCTATGTATTTATTTTTCTCTATCAGTCAAAAGTTTCATGCATAATGAAAATTAATAATATATTTTTTTGTTTTTTTCTCTCTATAAACAAATTCTCCCTTCCGAGAGACTAACTGCTTCAGTTGGGATTGGCTGGTCACCAGATTCAACTCAACTGGGACTTCCGGTTTACATAACGTCACACGTCCTACTATATATTGCATTGCGCAGGTTAAAGGTCACCCTTTGTGCTCCTGAAGAAGAATAGTAAGCTATTCGAAAGCTCTCGAGTTTTGGGTCTTATTTTAAGTTTATTACCCAATAATGTTGATTAAGTAGAGAGTATTTAGAAATCAGTTTCAAGATACTTTATTTTACCTTTTGAATTTTACGTATGTCTGTTGAAAATCTTTACAAAATAATCTCAATGTGATATTGTCTACAATTATCGCATATTCTATTTTTTCTATTTTGAATATTTACTTTTAAACCTTTCCATGTCAGAACACATTTTGGCGACATATGAAATATTTCTTAAGATGAAATGGACAAATAACTGTTATAAAATAATAATTATAAAAAAAGTGTTAGAACCAAGGAACGAGTTCCGTGTTCGTTTATTTAATTTATTTCCCCAGGTGGCCTAACGGTAAGTCTGAGAACTTATAATGTTAAAAATCTGGTTTCAATAATGGCTGGAGACGGCTTAAATGGGTAATGAAGAAAAACTTTAATATAAGTTTAACATGACAGCAAATGTACAACGTTTCGACAAGGTTTTGTCATCATCAGGTACTCAATATGGTTTCAATATTCGTGATGTCAGAAATACACGTAGGTTCAAGAAGTCTTGATACAAGATGATAAAAACCCTATAACCCGAGCGCTTTCGAAAGGTGAACATTTCTTC